GCCGAGGAGGGCAGATCACCTGAGGTCAGGAGTTGGAGACCAGCCTGGCCAGCATGGTGAAACCCTGTCTCTACTAAAAATACAAAATTAGCCAGGTATGGTGGTGCATGCCTGTAATCCCAGCTACTTGAGAGGCTGAGGCAGGAGAATCGATTGAGCCTGCAGGGTGGGGGTGAGGGGGGGCGCAGAGGTTGCAGTGAGCCGAGATCGCACCACTGCACTCCAGCCTGGGCAACAAGAGGGAAACTCCATCTCAAACAAACAAGCAAAGAATACAATTTAGATTTCATCAGAGCAGATTCGCAGGAAGCTGAGATTTGTAAACTGGGAAATCCAGGTCTTCCAAGTAGCCAGGAAATAAGGGGGACCTGACTCACTCTTGCTAGGCCCTGCTGTGCGCCAGGGATGACTGCCTAAGGAAGAAGTCATCGTGTGACTCTCTCACCTGAACTGTGGTGTAGTGAAGTGTGCCCTATCAAGAAAGAGAGTTAATGATCCGTCCTGCCTGTTGCAGTTAGAGGAACGACCACATATTTCCTAGGTAACTGCTCCCTTATTGTCTCCAGGTTTATTTTTGGTTCTTATAATAAGAAGATCACTCCCCTGGAAACTGGGGTTTTTTGGGAATTAGGAAGAGGTGTTTTTCCAAATGTTAAGGTTCCTGTGTGGTAGGAAAATGTTTTCTCCTGGAACTCCTTAGGAAAGCTGTCTGATACCTGGGTTGAGCTCCCAAAACCAAAACAAAATGAGATGGATTAGCCCCGGGATGCCGGAGCTGACGGGACACACCCTGGCTTGAGTGTGTGGGGTGAAAGACTGGAGCTGCCCTTCGTCCCAAATGGCTGTGTGCCGGGGCAGCCCTCGGGAAATGGCGAACCTGGCGACATTTACTTGTGAGGCTGGGAAAGCCCGCATTGAAAGCACGCGAGCCTTCGCCCCTGTCCCGTGGGCGACAGAGCCCCTCAGTAAATGCTGGCTTGTTTCCCCTTTGTGTTTTTCTACCAGCATTTTCCTCCCTCCAAAACCAACACTGAGTGTTCCTGGGGCTTCCTCAGGTTTCACCCTGCAGGACCCAGCCTGCAGCAAGGATTCGCAATGCCCAGGGTACATCAGTTCAGAGGGAGGGCTTAGAACCAAGCAGGCCCCACCCCAGGCCATTCAGTGAATGTTTGGTCTCTAGCAGGCGTTATCTTTCTTCAGGCTCCCATTGGCGACTCTAAGGCATGGTCCTTGTCATAGAGGAAATCAGGAAGTCTTTAGAGGTAAAATGAAAGAAGACCAGGATTTACACTGCAGCTTCTCTCCTTACTGATGTTGTCACCTTCCAGTAATCAGTTTATCCCCTGCAGAGCCTCATCCCTCCAGGGAGGTCTCAGAGCTCCACTGGCTTCCTGTGAGAATCACCCAGGCCAGGGCTCTGGTTGTGGGTGTGCATAAGCAAGGGGAGCCCTGCAGGGCCCTACTGAGTGCTGCCGGCCCCTGAGCTCAAGGGGCACCCATGAATAAAAGCCCTTTGCAGTGCGGGACTCCATCCCACCGACGTGAAAGAGAACAGAAGTCCTTTCAGGACCTAGAACTGTATCTTTTAAGAGTGTGGTGCCCCCATCACCTGGAAATTGCTACAAATGTAGGTTCTCAGGCTCCCTCTCCACCTGTGAAACCCTAGGGACAGCCCAGCTACGGGTCCCCAGCGGGGTCGGGGTGGGGGGCGGGGGGTGGGTTCGGCTTCTGCTTATAGGGTGGTGTTGCAGTTCTTTCCAGGTGGGTGCAGGTGAACCCACGGGGGTGGGGGAGGTGGGGAGAATCCAGGCAGGGACTTCAGGGACTGAGTTTAGTGCTGGTGTGCATTTTTACTCTGTGCAGGAGTCTCCTGGGGTCACTTTGTGTATCGTGTCCAGCTTTTTTTTTTCTTTGAGACGGAGTCTCACTCTGTCGCCAAACTGGAGTGCAGTGGCCTGATTTCTGCTCACAGCATCCTCTGTCTCCTGGGTTCAAGTGATTCTCCTGCCTCAGCCTCCCAGGTAGCTGAGACTACAGGCCGACGCTACTTTTGGTATTTTTATAGCGACGGGGTTTCGCCATGTTGGCCAGGATGGTCTCAATCTCTTGACCTCATGATCTGCCCACCTTGGCCTCCCAACGTGCTGGGATTACAGGTGTGTGTGGGCCATCACACCCGGCCATGCCCAGCTTTTAAAAGTTTTATTCCTTCTGCTATTTCTTTCCACTTCCATTTTCTAAAATTCCCAAGTTCTTCCTCATTCCTTTATGAAAGACTGGATGGGCATGGTGGGAACGAGGTCTTCAGAGAGCAGGGGGAGGAGGAGGAGCGGGGTGGGGAAGAAGCGGGGCCCCAGGGCTGCCACCAGGTCTTCGAGCTGTGCTTCTGCATCACCTGCTTCCCAGTGTTGGCACGGTCTGTTTGGTGGTTAATTCATCCATCAGAGTGAGCATAGCGTAAGGTCCTGGAGCCAGAGCTGTGCCTCGACCCCTTGAGTTGCAGAGTCCAGGCACTGCCGAGCCTGCCTATTGGAGAGATGGGTGAGAATGTCCCACAGGTGTGAGGCCAAGGGGGCGGGAGGCTCCGTCCTGCCCGGAATAAATGGAATCAGGTGGGAGGTGAGCCACGCAGTCTTCCTGGGAGGTGCCAGAGCTTGGGAGCGGAGGATGAGGGGGAGCGTCCGACCAGGAGCGCTGGCAGGGCTGCCACCCAGGCTCAGGGACAGGAGGCTCCGAGTGCCACCAGACAGGTGGGTGGTCCCTGGGCATGGCCAGGAGCTCAGGGGAGCGAACGTGTGAAGCTCCAGGGGCACAGCAGCCAGGCACCGGCCTCAGACCCAGTTCTCCAAGGGGCTGGGGCTCGTGTGACTGTGACTCAGTTGTGTTTTTTCTAAACAAGAAGAATGTATTTGTAATTTACTTGCTTAAAAGCCAACGAAAGAGAAAAACTGTTGTAATGATTCTGGCCACAGTGTGACTCACGTCAGAGGGAGCTGGGGATTTGGGGGCAGCGCTGGGAGAAGGTGTCCATTGCGTGGGCTGGAGCTGGCGAGGGTGTTGGCAGCATTCAGCGCCAGTGACAGGGAAGAAAGTTGTGCTGTTTGGCAAGAGAGAGGGTGCAGCGGGCGGAGGAAATGGCCAGGGTGAGCTGACCGGCTGCGTTTGGAAACGCTGAGTTTGATGTTCTTGAGAGGTGGCCACTAGTTAATCAGCAGGTCATTAGAGTTCTTCATGTTATAAACTAAGTTTGAATATGATGTAAATAAGACTGCGTCATATATACATGCACGCATACATATTAGATACGTAGTAAACATGCATTCACCCCTAAAATAGGTATTCTCAGAATTGTCAACTTTCAGAAGCAACGGGGACCCCAGCATCGCCGACCTGGCCCAGCGGCATTTCAGGGTTTTTAAGGGTTTTTAAGGTGACCGTCCAAGCGCACATAGCCAGCCTCTGTCACGGACGCCCCTGCAGGACCACGGTCCTTTCATTTGTGGCTCATTGGCTGGAAGCGCCATTTGCTTCACGGCCCACGAACTGCAGCATCATTAAGATGGGCGCGCTCAGGTGTGTCTGGGAGCAGAGGCCCTGAAAGCTCAGGTGGTCCTCATCCTTCAGCAGCAGCGATGCGTGGTTGTGGGTGCAGCCCTCGTGCCTTTTAATTCCTCTCCCGATGGGCCTGAGCTCCTTAACCACGACAGCAAGACAGACCCTCCAGGCCCCAGAGGTGGTTCTGAGACACAGGTGGCTTCAGCTCCCTTGACCACAGTGTGGCGGTCGGGGGGGGGGGGGGGGGGGGGTGGAGGCTAACACACTTATAATATGATACATTGTATAACATCTGCTGCTGAGAGGCCAGGGGGCTAAAAGACTTGTAAGTTGATACATTGTATAACATTGTCTGAGATGGAGGCTAATGACTTCTGTGTTGATACGTTGTATAATGTTGCCTGAGCCAGGCTAAACACTTACATGGTGATACATTGTATAATGTTTTAAGTGGAGGGCCTCCCTTTATCTTCATGAGGTATGGCTATTTATAATATGCCAGTTTATTTTAACTTTACTGATCATAAAACTGTAATATGCCGGTTTCTTTTATCATTCAACTTGTTTTCTGTTGAAACCCATTACCTAATTTTTTTTTTTTTTTTTTTTTTTTTGAGGTGGAGTCTTGCTCTGCCGCCCAGGCTGGAGTGCAATGGTGCAATCTCGGCTCACTGCAACCTCCACCTCCTGGTTCAAGCGATTCTCCTGCCTCAGCCTCCTGAGTAGCTGGAATACAGACGCATGCACAGCTAATTTTTAGTAGAGATGGGGTTTCACCATATTGGCCATGATGGTCTCGAACTCCTGACCTTGTGATCTGCCCACCTCGACCTCCAAAAGTGCTGGGATTACAGGCATGAGCCATGGTGCCCAGGCAATTTTTTTTTTTTTTTTTACAGTGGTGGTTGGTGATGCAATAATCCATTTTTTAGCTCCTTCCCTTTATCACACACAGAATGTGGCTAGCTGTGAATAAACATCTGTTCTGCACGTTGTTCGGTTGGATGGAGTGGCCTGCAAATGGGTACCGAGCTCAGGCAGTGATGCTTTGAACAGAAAGTCCTCCGGGCTCTTAGACTCAGCCCGGGTGTACGGGGCACCTCGCATTGCGTTGGCTGTTTCTTTCTTTCTTTCTTTCTTTTTTTTAAAGATGGGGTTTCACCATGATGGCCAAGCTGGTTTTGAACTCCTGACCTCAGGTGATCCACCCACCTCAGCCTCCCAAAGTGCTAGGATTACAGGTGTGAGCCACCACGCCCGGAGCGTTGGCTGTTTCTTTTAGTCCTTACCCTCATCCCAGAGGGCTGTGTGTACCCATCTCTTGTATCAGGAAGTGAGGGCATTGAGAAGTTGCAGAACAGACAGACCCATGGTGCTGGGTCCTGGGCGGCAGAGCCGAAATTGCTGAGGCCCTTCAGTGACTCTTGCTCCTGTTTCCTCTGCAGGCATGAACGCTGCGGTGCGCGCCGTAGTGCGCATGGGTATCTACGTGGGGGCCAAGGTGTACTTCATCTACGAGGTCAGTGTCTGCCCCATGCTCCCTGCTGCTCTTCCTTCCACCTGCCCAGAGCCCTGCAGTCACTGGCGTGTGCTCACCCCTGCCTCCCGCTGCTGAGCAAGCCAGTTCCTGCCTGCCAGGGTCCTTCCCCAGCCCACAGGAGCCCCTATGGGGGCTGTTTACATAAGAGGCTGTGCTTTCTGGTCTTCAGGGACGGGTGCCTGGTCTGTGAGGTTTTTGTTAGGAAATGAGGGGAGAAAGGAGGGGGAGCCCCAAAAGCCATGTTCTTCTTATTTTTAGACAGTCTTGCTCTGTCATCCAGTCTGGAGTGCAGAGGCGTGATCTTGGCTCATGGAAACCTCCCAGGTTCAAGTGATTTTATGCCTCAGACTCATGAGTAGTTTCAATTACAGGTGCCTGCCACCATGCCGAGTTAATTTTTTGTATTTTTAGTAGAGAAGGGGTCTCACCATGTTGGGTAGGCTGGTCTCAACTCCTGTCCTCAAGCAATCTACCTGCCGTGGCCTCCCAAAGTTTTGGGACTACAGGTGTGAGCCACTGTGCCCAGCCCCAAAAGGCCATTTTGATATCAACCTCCTGGTGTTGATTTCTAGGATTAGAGACCCACCAGCGGTCTCTTAGTTGGTTGCATCTGTTTGAGGCTCGCGTTGCTGTAGAGGTGATTTGTAGGCTGAATTCGAATAAGTATTTAGAGAAATGGGGAACAGCAGCCCCTTTGAGCTTTTCATCATTAATGTAAAAAAAAAAAAAAAAAAAAAAAAAAACCACACCTGTGCCAGCCGATGTGTTACTTCGGAATGAAGGGCCTTCAGTTAAATAGCAGGGAGGACTCCCTATCTGCTGGAGTTGAAGTCCTGGCAACTTAAGACTAAAAACCATTTGAAGGGAAGGCACCAATAGAGTTTGGATCACAGTATTGGTTTCAGAAATCATTAGGAAAAAATTTAATGTTTAAATTCCTAAAACATATTTTTTAAATTTAAGTTCTGGGTACTTGTGCAGAATGTGCAGGTTTGTTACACAGGTATACACATGCCATGGTGGTTTGCTGCCTCCATCCCCCGGTCACCTACATTAGGTATTTCTCCTAATGTTATCCCTCCCCATCCCCCTGCCCCCTGCTATCCCTCCCCTAGCTCCCGCACCCCATAACAGGCCCCAGTGTGTGATGTTCCCTTGCCTTTAAAAATAAGAAGAGGGTGTTTTTTTAAATTAATTTAATGTCTCCAAAATGACTGTTAGTGTTTTAGTCTGATTTCTCTCAGTGTGATGTATGTAAAAGACTGGAAGGAAATACATTATGAAAAGTATAGCAGACATGTTTTGTATACTGTTTTTCATCTATATCACAATGTTATGATTATATCATGACTTTTTCCTGTGTAGATTCCACAACTGTTGCTTTAAATGTCAGCATGCTGTCCTGCTGAATCGATGTCATGCGTGGACCCTGTATTCTACCATTCCCCTGATATCGCGCACCATTTATTTTTCTTCCTATTTTTTAAACTGATAAGATCGATGTTAATATTCAAAGCAAATCGATGTTTTAAGTTATTAGTTAATACCTTGGTCCAAAGATTGGGCAGTGACTTCGATAAAAGGGCCAGCCATCATCACTGCTTGGGATGGTTCTTGCCTCACTGATTCCTGAAACATGCCCAGCTCTACCCCAGCCCTGCGCAGGGAAGGTGGGGTAGCAGCTCTCCATGATGACGCCGAGTGTGGCTGCCTGTGGCTGCCTCTGAGCCCTGGCATGGATTCCCCTGTCTGTTTTCTAAGCTCTCTTTCCCTTTGGTGAAATGTCTGCTGCTCTTACTCTTTGTTCATTTGTGTATTCTATCCATTTGTGTATCACTTCCTGGAAAGATTTTCTCTTTTTTTTTCTATTTTTGGCTTGCTTTTATTAAACTGGTTATGCAGTTATTGTTTGTATTTATCTGATTTGGGCAATTTTAACAGTAGGCCTAACTGTAGCATTCCCAGGCTGCTGTTTCTATCATTTTATATTTGGGTCTTTTTTGTTTGTTTGTTTTGAGATGGAGTTTTGTTCTTGTTGCCCAGGCTGCAGTGCAATGGTGCAATCTTGGCTCACTGCAGCCTCTGCCTCCCAGGTTCAAGCGATTCTCCTGCCTCAGCCTCCCAAGTAGCTATGATTATAAGCATGCATCACCATGCCCAGCTAATTTTGTATTTTTAGTAGAGACAGGGTTACTCCATGTTGGTCAGGCTGGTCTTGAACTCTGGACATCAGGTGATCTGCCCACCTCCCTCTCCCAAAGTGCTGGGATGACAGGCCTCAGCCACCACCACCAGTCTTTTTGGGCCTTTTTAAGGTCAGATTGCCCTCATGTGTTGCCCTGCCCAGGGCCTGACCCTGGTAGCAGCTGCCCTTTGCTCAGGGACGAGGAATAAGCCCAGTAGACTCTGTCCAGAGCACAGTCCTCCACTCGATGCACAGCTCAGTCCTCCTCCCCACTCCACAGCTCAGTCCTCCTCCCCCATCCACAGCTCAGTCCTCCTCCCCATACACAGCTCAGTCCTCCTCCCCATCCACAACTCAGTCCTCCACCCCCCTCCACAGCTTAGTCCTCCATCCACAGCACAGTCCTCCACCCCATCCATAGCTCAGTCCTCCTCCCCATCCACAGCTCAGTCCTCCTCCCCATCCGCAGCTCAGTCCTCCTCCCCATCCGCAGCTCAGTCCTCCTCCCCATCCGCAGCTCAGTCCTCCTCCTCCATCCACAGCATAGTCCTCCTCCCCCATCCACAGCTCAGTCCTCCTCCTCCATCCACAGCACAGTCCTCCACCGCATCCATAGCTCAGTCCTCCTCCTCCACCCACAGCTCAGTCCTCCTCCCCCATCCGCAGCTCAGTCCTCCTCCCCATCCGCAGCTCAGTCCTCCTCCCCATCCGCAGCTCAGTCCTCCTCCCCATCCGCAGCTCAGTCCTCCTCCATCCACAGCACAGCCCTCCTCCCCCATCCGCAGCTCAGCCCTCCTCCCCATCCGCAGCTCAGTCCTCCTCCCCATCTGCAGCTCAGCCCTCCTCCCCATCCGCAGCTCAGTCCTCCTCCCCATCTGCAGCTCAGTCCTCCTCATCCACAGCACAGCCCTCCTCCCCCATCCGCAGCTCAGTCCTCCTCCATCCACAGCATAGTCCTCCTCCCCCATCCACAGCTCAGTCGTCCTCCATCCACAGCTCAGTCCTCCACCCCCATCCACAGCTCAGTCCTCATCCCCATCCACAGCTCAGTCCTCATCCCCATCCACAGCTCAGTCCTCCTCCCCCATCCGCAGCTCAGTCCTCCTCGCCATCCGCAGCTCAGTCCTCCTCCCCATCCGCAGCTCAGTCCTCCTCCCCATCCGCAGCTCAGTCCTCCTCCCCCATCCGCAGCTCAGTCCTCCTCGCCATCCGCAGCTCAGTCCTCCTCCCCATCCGCAGCTCAGTCCTCCTCGCCATCCGCAGCTCAGTCCTCCTCCCCATCCGCAGCTCAGTCCTCCTCCCCATCCGCAGTTCAGTCCTCCTCCCCATCCGCAGCTCAGTCCTCCTCCTCCATCCACAGCTCAGTCCTCCACCCCCATCCACAGCTCAATCCTTCACCCCCATCCACAGCTCAGTCCTCATCCCCCTCCACAGCTCAGTCCTCCACCCCCATCTACAGTACAGGCCTCGACCCCCATCCACAGCACACTCTGTTCCGGAGTGCCTGGGGTTTCTTTCGAGGTAAACCCCATGTCCTCTCTGTCTCATTGGGAAGGGCTGGAGCTCTCAGGCCCATCCATGTGACCCATGACTGCAGGTGCCGTCTAGACGAGGTCTGCAGGGACGGCTCCTCTTCCTGCCCCTGCTCTGGGTGAGGAAGGAGGGTCCTGACTGAGATCTCATTTCCTTTAGGGAAATTCACGACATTTCTGCAATTCCTTTGCTGAGATGTGGCCAAAATGAATCCTTCTATGCAAATGGTGTTTGGGACAATTCTAATTTTTATGAGAACTGTTTTATAGTAAGTGGCACCTTCAGAGGTGTCAGGAGCGAAGCTGAATGGAGTGTCGATGATTTTGGCACAAAGAATGATCAGGCTTTTGGAATGATCTTACTGAGGGAGATAGGAGCGGCCTGGGGTCAGCACATTTGAACCCAAATTGCTTCCCCGCCGCCCTCCCCGCCGCCCCCAGAAGGCAGGAAATCCTAGTGAACGGGTCCTCCTGTTCACCTCCCTCCGGGGTAGCCCAGGCAGCAGCCTACCTCTGGGCACCTTGGGAACACAAATTCTCATGGAGCCGCAGACCGCCAGGAATTTGTATGAGCGGTAGGTTCTTCACCCAGTTGCAGTAATAAAAGTTGAATCCATTTAGGATCTCATCATTTTGCCATTACAGATGTAAAAATTCTGTATCTTTAATTCTAAGACAGAAAACAACCTAAAATCGGTGAGTGTTTTCCTAACTGGGCAGCAAATCCCTGACTGACCTGGAGCGCATTGCCTGGCTGACCCAGTTGGGATGACGGCTCTCAACTCTCTCCAGGGGTGGGTTTGATGTGGGGCAGGCCCCCCAGGGTCCAGGGTACAGGTGCAGTAACATACACACTACTGTTTAAAACATTTTTTATTTTTAGTTATGGATACATAAGAGTTGTACCTGTTTACGGGGTACCTGCGATTTTTATTTATTTTTTATTGAAATGAAATATGCATATATCATTTACCATCTTATCCGTCTGTGGGCACAGAGTTCAGTAACGTCTACATTTATATTGTTTTTCCCTTGTATCTTTTCCTTTCCCCACCCCTCCCATTCCACTGATAACTGCACTTCTCTCTATGAGATCAACGCCATATGAGTGAGATCAGGCAATGTTTCTCTTTTTATGCCTGGCTTATTGGCTTATTTCTTTTATCTTTTTCTTTTTCTTTTTTTTTTTTTTTTTGGATACAGTTTTGCTCTGTCGCCCAGGCTAGAGTGCAGTGGCATGATCTTGGCTCACTGTAACCTCT